AATGTGGGACTCGATCCCCAGACTCCAGGATCATGACCTGAGAGGAAGGCAGTTGCTTAACCAACTGAGCCACCCAGGTGCCCAAGGCTGGGCTTTGGTGCTCTGATAAAAACACACTCACTCACTGTAGGGCCTTTCTATGGGAGACTGGGAGGACCGGGCTGCTCTGCCTAGGACTGTGTCCCAAGGTTACAAGGACGAAAGTCACCTCCCAGAAATGGGGTCAGGTAGGACTGGATTCAGATTGCCATATATCACAGGTTGTGTGACCTTGGGCAAATGACCTTGGGCAATGCGGTCTCGGGGAAACAATGATAATGTGGGCCTTGTTTGGGGAGTGTGTGTGAGTGTAAATAACCAGAGTTACCCAGATGACATATTAGAGAGAATGCTGTCAGTCCAGTGCACAGCTCATGCAAAATGCTTGGTACTTGGTGGGGGAAACTCTCTCAGTTCACTCCAGGCTCCACCCACAGTGTCTCCTCTTGCCTTGGCACCTGCGTCTACATCTCGTCTGGACCCCACCTGAATCTCTGCTACATGACTCTGGCCCATATCCGGTGTGTCTCCACCTTGCCAAGGGCAGAGTCCCTCAGCCCAAGTTAGTCTAGGACACAGAAAGTGTGACAAGCAAGAGAATCTAGAACTACTCAGGACCACTGGGAGGGAAATTAGCTTTTCAGCTTCAAGGCCTTGGCTACGGACCCCTGGGGTTTTCTCAACCACCCATCCTACCCTACTTGAGCTGTCAGCTCAGTTCCTGTTTCACAAAGAAACAAGGAAGTGCCGAGGTGGGCCAGCCTGAGGGCAAGGGCTGGCTGGGCGTGGTCAGGGAGCACCTCCTACTTCCAGCTTAGAGAGCCCTGGAGGGCAGGGATGGACATGGAGGAAACAGTCGCTATCGAGTCTTTCATATTTCCGCCTATTTTTTGGCACCAAGAGCGCCCAGCCACTGATTTGAGGAAGTGCGTGGTGAGTTGGTAAAATTCGCTGCTGACGTGGTTTAGCCGAGTGAAGGCAGCCAGCTCCACCCCTTCCGTGGTCCCAGCTCACGAAGCACTGGAGCCAGCTAGCTGGCAAATGAGAGAGGACTGGCTTAGTTATAATTTTAAAAATGAACCATTTAGATTCTTTGTGTATATACGTAAGTAAGTATGTATGTATGATCTCACCCAGGTTCTTTCCTATTCCAAAAAAGTTTTAAAGCATTGAAAAATGTAACTCAGTCCCATCATCACGCCTGTGTGCCCGGCAACTAACTGGTCTCCTTGGGCTTCAGTTTGCTCCTTAGAGGCAACAGGGAGTGGCAGAAGGACACACTGAAAGCCGGAGAGGAGCGAGCACAGTTGAGTCAGGATGCTGGGGATTAATCCTCACTTGGGCCCCAATGGGCTGTGTGACCTTGGGCAAGTCCCTCCTTTTTCTGGGCTGCTGTTGCATTTCCCCATCTCTACATCAAAGGGATGAAACCCGCTTTTTCTTAGTTTTATTTGGTTTGTTTGGTTTGGTTTGGTTTTGGTCATGGAGCTCCCGGTCCGGGCTGGCTGTGGGATTTGTGGGACCTGGTAAAAGTGAAAATGCAGGGCCCCTTGTTCAGACATTTAAAAAAAAGATTTTACTTATTTATTTGAGAGAGAGAGACAGTGAGAGAAAGAATGAGAGGGGAGGTCAGAGGGCGAAGCAGACTCCCCTTGGAGCTGGGAGCCTGATGTGGGACTCGATCCTGGGGTTCCGGAATCATGACCTGAGCCGAAGGCAGTTGTTTAACCAACTGAGCCACCCAGGCGCCCTGTTCAGACATTTAAAAAAAATCTCAAAATGATGACAGCAGAGCACAGGGCTCTCCTTTAAAAAAAAAAAATCTATTTATTTATTAGAGAGAACACGAGCAGTGGGAGAGGGGCAAAGGGAGAGGGAAAAGGAGACACCCCACTGAGCAGGGAGCCCAACATGGGGCTTGATTCCAGGACCCTGGGATCATGACCTGAGCTAAAGGCAGATGCTTAGCCAACTGAGCCACCCAGGCGCCCCTGTACAGGGCTCTTCTAAGCACACGGCCCTACATGACTGCACAGGTCCATCACCCAGAAGTTGCCCCTGCAACTACTTCCAGTACAATTTTAAGGGCAGCCCATGTAGCCTGCTTTTGGCTGGAGCTACGCTTTTTGTGGCAGTCCTTGTGGCATTTCTAAGGATCCTCTGGCTCTTAGGAAGCATCGCTAGAAAAACACAAATTAGATACTTGGTTGATAGCCTGTGTAGTTTCGATGATGTAGGTATAAAATTTGGATCCCCAGTTTTTTCCTTACCTACCTCCGAAGGTGAGGCAAGAGTTGAAGTTGCGCTGAGCGAATAATAGCATTATCATCTCCCGTCTGCGTGGCTTCCTGGCTCACAGAGTGCAGTCACATCCGGGTCTTATGAGCCTCTCACTGTAACCTCATGTGGAAGGTGGTATAGGTAGTTTACGGAAGAGAGAACTGAAGACCAGAGAGGTGAAGTGACTTGCCTCTAGATACACAGCAGGCCCAGCTGGAACGAGAACCCTAGAATCTGAACTCCTAAGTAAAGGGGCTTTTCCAAGGGGGCGTTTCTTTATCTTCAGTTCCTAATGAAGTCTTAAGTGCTCGTGCGTGGGTCGGCCTTGCTGTGTATGCTTGAGCATTGCCCTGTCTGGTGCAGCGTGAAGCCCTTCAAGCAGGCTGCTCAGTGTGCTGACAATCCGGGCCCCAAGGAGGGATGAGCTGGGGTAGCAGCAGCCCCCCGACCCAGCCATACTTCTGATGCGCTCCACCCCACCCCATGCTGGTGGATTGGAAGGGGTAGGTCAGGGAAGCGATGAGGCAGAGCCCTGGGTGTTGCACTGAAGGGACGAAGGAGGAGCACGTGAGCTGCCCTGGGCTGAGAGGCCTGTGAGCAGGTCCCTGTCAGGTTTCCCAGGCCCGCCTGCTGCCTGTCAGAACCCCAGGAGCAACGTCAGGGATCAAAGGGAAAGATCTGGGGAAGCAGGATGGTGTGGAGAACAACAGTTGGGTCTGAATCCCAACTCACCAGCCTTGTGACCCTGCCTGAGCCTTAGTTTTCTGAGATACATGAGAGCCGTACCACCTGCCCTTTCCTGAGAGAGTGCGTTCTTGAATCATCTGACTGGTTTGAATCCTAATTTTATCATGTCCTTGAGGAGTGACCTTGAGCAAGTCAGTTAATCTCTATGAGCCTCACTCGTTTTCTTCTCTTGTAAAACAGGAACAATAAAAGGACCTTCTCAGAGGTTGTGGACATTAAGTGAGAAAATGAGATAATGTATGGTACACTTGACAATATATGAGAGGGTAGATCTCATGTTTACCATTCCTATCACAATAAAATAAAAAATATTTTTAAAGTGCATATAAAGCATAGTGCCTCAAATACACGAAACACTCAGTGAATGGTAGTGTTGATGACAATCGTGATGATGATGACGATGGTGTTAACTTTAATTTTATTAGTAGTAGCTGTCTTTGTGGGGTGACCAGGTGAGAGAGTAAATGAATCAGCAAGTTGAGGCCCGCTGTTGGGTGCCGTAGGCTTGCAGTGAGGACGGCTGCGGCCTCTGGATGCAAGCCTCAGTGGTGATAACTGTCACAGGTCATCAGTAAAATCCGTAAAATAGGCCTGGTGGTCCCAGGCTGGGGGATGAGTCTGCCTGGCGCCTTTACCCAGCACTCTGCCCCGGAGACCTGGTTCTCTCCCCGCCCAACCCCGACCCTGCTCAGCAGAGCACAGGCATTGCTTCCAACTTTCCTGGACTACATTTGACAAGCCCTGCAGCATGGGGCTCCCTTCCATCCTCTCCAGAAGGCTGTGACCTTTGGCACAGGCAGTGGTTGACTGAATGTTCACACACGTACATGCACGCAAGCTCACATGCCCATCTCAAGCCCGTGTGCTCCCCAACGGAGCTTCTGAGAGCCTCACATCCCTCCCCGCCCCTCACCCCCTCCCCTTCCTCCCCCACCACAAAAGCCACAGGTAACAGCAGTCCCCAGCAACACAGAAGACACAGTGTAAAACCCAGAGGCAGGCTTCGTTGCCGTGCTGTTTTAAGTATCTAGCAGGATGTGAGCCCAGGTGGCTAACGGCAGGGCTGACCAAAGAAAACTCCCTCCCTCCCCTCCGCCCTGCCCCCAGCAGCAGGCTCAGTGAACTTGGAAGGGGATGGGAGGTATGCTAAGGCATTTTACATAGTGCCAAAGGGCAAAATAGCTGGACTGCGGGCCCATTCTGACTCCGCCATGTCCCACCCAAACACTGTATCCTTGGAGAGGTCCCCCAAGCCGGAAGTCAGTTTTCCTATCTGTAAAATGGGAAAAGCAGAGTCCCACAAGTCGAGCCAGCCCACACAAATTCAAGACCATCTGAGGATGCTGGAGGATTTGTTGGCATTGTCATTGTAGCTGCATTTTGGAAGGTTAAAATGGCCACACACGTGCTGGGGAGTCTGGGATAGTGATTGGGCACTGCTGCTGAGGCTGTTCCCAACTTTGGGTAGGGTCATATTCCAAAATGCTCCCCACATTCCCTCCTACCCCATGGCCCAGTTTCTATGGCTGAACTCCCTGTCTTGTGCCTTGGCATGGAATCCACCCAGGGTTTAGAAGTGACAATCTCACGTGGGGGGCAGGCTGGTGTACGTACGTGCCCCTTTCTGGCTGGCCTCCCTGGTTGCAGAAGACTCAGCCTCCTTCCCTTCCTCTCCCTTCACAGGTTCAGCAGGGACCCTAGGCCAGAAGGGCGCTCTAGGGCCAGGGGCGGGTTGGGGGATGGTCAGAAGCAGCTTCAAGGGTGTGGAAAAACCAAGTCAGGAGCCAGTGGGGGTGGGAAGAGCTCCGAGTATATCCAGCAGGTGGCGATAGGGTGGGGCTCTTGGGGGGGGGGGTGGCTGGAGACCCTGGGGATAGGGTACTGCCTTATGATGGTCTTTGCGGGGGTGGGGGTTATAGGTTAGGCCTACTGGGCTCACAAGAGGAAAGGTGCCAGGGGACTCTCCTATCCCAGGGCTAGGGGTTGGGAGCCTAGGGTGAGGTGTACAGGCCCTTCGGGGACATGCCAGGGCCAAGAAGCCCTGGGTCGCTGGGGTTTAGTCCTGGAGAAGAAAGCTGAGGGCAATGGTTTCCGGGCAATGGGCTGGCAGGGGCTCTGGGAGCGCGGGTGGTGCAGGGTGAGGGGAGATGAGCTAGAGCGTTGGCCAGGGAGTCTGCGTGTCTAGACGCTCCAGCTGAGGATGGTAAGAGAGGAGACTGCCAGCAGAGAGGCCAAGGAGGCAGTACACGGGGCTCTGGCGGACAGGGGCTCTGTGTGCCGCTGCAGCCACTCAAACTCCTCCAGCAGCAAGCGCTGCTGCAGCTCTGGGCCCACCTTCTCGCGGATGGTCTGGTAGTAGCGGTTCAGGTACTGGAGCTGCAAAGGGAAGGAGGGCTGAGGGCCTCCCCAGAGAGGAGGTCTTGGTGCCAGCCAGTCCACTCGACAGTATTCTGGCTGCCTACCCTGGCGCCCAGCCACCATCAGGCCACAGACATTCTCTGGGGGCTTTTCAGAAGCAGTTTGCTACAGTGACCATTTAGTGTCATGGTGACTTTCTTGGGGTGGGTGGGGGATGGGAGTGGAATGAAAGTTGGGTGAACATTATTATCCCCATTTTATAGAAGAAGAGACTGAGGCTTATATTAGGATTTCAGGTGGCAGAGTCCAGAGACTCAGTCTCAGACTCCCCAGGAGTTCACTACCTAGGGTTGGGCAGGTTGGGCTGACTAGAGAGTTCTAGAAGCTTTGGATTCTCTGGGGAGGCCCCAGTATGTGCCAACAAGCCAACAGTGTGGACTGTCCCAGGGGAGGGGAAGTGGCAGAGGGTCTTGGGGTAGGGAGAGCAGAGGTGAGAGGCCCAGGGTTGGGAAGAAGGCAGTCATGGTTATGGGCTGAAAGATGGACAGTGCTGAGGGTCACTTACGTGTTCGGGAGACAACAGGCTGACGTCAATGAGGTTCCGGTCATAGGGTACCAAGGACACCACTTCAAAGGTCAGGTAGGACCCTGGGTACTGGAATGTCAGAGGGAAGGTAGGAAAGCAGGAGAATGAGTGAGTAGAAGGGGCTTGGCTGAGGGGTCCCACGCAGAAGCAATGGGTACAGGGAATGGGCCCTCGTCAAGCCCGAGACTCAAGGTAGGCTGGATGTCCTACAGTCCCCATGTCCAGCCCCCACACCCCAGGCTGCACTCAGCACCTCATCTTTGGTGCTTATCAGATCTGTATTTCTCTCCTTTTTAAAAAAGATTTTATTTATTTATTTGACAGAGATCACAAGTAGGCAGAGAGGCAGGCAGAGAGAGGGAGAAGCAGGCTCCCTGCTGAGCAGAGAGCCTGATGCAGGGCCTGATCCCAGGACCCTGAGACCATGACCCAAGCTGAAGGCAGAGGCTTTAACCCACTGAGCCACCCAGGTGCCCCAGATCTCTATTTCTCCAAGTGTGTGCTATAACGCAGTGGGGGCCTTGTTAAATATGTAGATTCCCAGGTCCACCCCCCAGACCACTGGAGTGAGAACTTCTTGCACAGGGCTGGGAACTCACATTTAAATAATTTTAAGGTAAGTTATTAGGTTTTTATATCTATCTATCTAATATATATCTTTATATATTTCTATCTCTATCTAAATCTCTTTGTATCTCTTGATTGACCTACCTATAGAAATAGGTATAAAAAAGACAAAATAGTCCATAATTCCCATCTCCCAGAGATCCCTTGCATGGTTGTGCTTAGAAAATTCAAACTACCATAAGATACACAATAAAAATGGAAAGTCTCCTCCCTGCCCAGTTCCCTTCCTGAAAACATTTAAGACATATACAGTAATTAATCCACTAATTAATTATTTTAGTCCACACAAAATGGATCCTACCACATGCTTTTCTGCACCTTCTCTCCACCCTGTTAATGGTAAATGTAGGCAAGCGCTGCATATTAACACGAGGATATCTACCTCCCTCTTTTCTAAGGGCTGTGTAAGGGTCCACAGTATGCATGACGATACACTCAACCAGTGGCGGATACTTAGGCTGTTTCCACTTCTTTTTTTACTATGACTATCGATGCTACAACCCACATCAATGTATAAAACATCTTGGTGACCTTGTGGAACTAGATCCAGAAGACACATATCTGGGAAAGGGATTGCTGAGACAAAAGGTATAGGCATTTTATTTTATGTTATTTTATTTTATTTTTAAAAAGCTTTTATTTATTTATTTGAGAGAGAGTGTGTGTGTGTGAGTGAGAGAGAGAGAGATAGAAGGAGCAGGGGGAGGGGCAGAGGGAGAAGGAGAAGCAGACTTCCCACTGAGCAGGGAACCCAGATGTGGGGCTTGTGGCTTCATCCCCAACACGCTGGGATCGTGACCTGAGCGGAAGGCAGATGCTGAACTAACTGAGCCGCCCAGGAGCCCCAAGGCATTTTAAATAGATATTTTTATTGATATTGTCAAACTGTCCTCTAGAAAGATTGTATCAATTTGTGCTTCCTCCAGCAGTGTGTGAGAGGGCCCATTTCCTCATAGAGTCACTGTAAGTCAATCTGGATATCACTAAAATCACTCATTGTTTGCCAATCAGATAGGTGAAACATGGTAATCTATTGTTATTTTGATTTGTGTTTCTTTAAGAGTAAAGTTGAGCATCTCTGCATGCTTATAGATCATTTGTGTTTATCATAGAGAGTTGCCTCTTCGTGTCCCTTGCCTCTTTTCCTGATTTTTGTCTTAATGATTTGTAAAAAGCTCATGGCAAAAGAAGGAAACACATGCTTTCCCTGTGGTACCTACTCTATTTGTCATACATATTTTGACTTTGTTTATGATATTGTTTCCGTATATACAGGGTTTTTCTTTTTAAAGATTTTACTTATTTGAGAGAGAGAGAGAGAAAGAAAGCATGAGCAGGGGGAAGGGGCAGAGGGAGATGCAGACTCCCCACTGAGCAGGGAGCCTGCTGTGGCGCTCAATCCCAGGACCCCGGGATCATGACCTGAGCTGAAGGCAGACACTAAGCCAACTGATCCACCCAGGCACCCGTCCATATAGACAGTTTTACATTTAATTTATCTATCTTTTTATTCACGGCTTTTGGATCTTGCATAGAAAGGCCCATTTCCACCCTCCGATTATAAATGAATTTATATAGATTTCTTCGAGATCTTTTATGGTTTTACCTTTAAATCTTGATCCATTCAGAATTTTATTTTGGGGTAACAGTAAGGTTCTTCACTTAAATAGCCCCCAAATGATTAGCCATTTGTCCCCCCCGCCCATTTATTAAATCTCTCTTGTCTTTACTGTTTTGAAACCCCAGTTTTATTATAAATTAAATTCCCATTTTATTTACAGAACTTAGAAGGGCACCTGGGTGGCTCAGTTAGCAAAGCATCCTATTCTTGATTTGGGATCAGGTTGTGATCTCAGGGTTGGGAGATTGAGCCCCAAGTCAGGCTCTACCCCCAGCGTGGTGCCTGCTTAAGATTCTCTCTCTCTCCTTCTGTTCCACCCCAACCCCCAAGAAAAAAAGGAAATTAGAGGGTATATTTCTGGATTAGTTGTTTTGTTCCACTGTGACATCTGTCTCTCCCATCTCTGGTGCCATACTGTTTTCATTACAGTAGCTTCATTGTATGTGTTAATATCTGAAAGGTCGGTTTCCCTTATTGCTCTTCTTTTCCAGAACTTTCCTAGCTACCTAGCTATTTTTGCATCTTAATTTTACAAACAGTACTATCATTTTGTGAAGTTACAAAAGCATTCCGTTAACACTGAAATTGAGGTGGTCTTGAATTTATAGATTGATTTTGGGAGAAATGACATCTCCATAATATTGAGGCTTCTTTCCAGAGAGCACCATTTACTTAAATCTTTTTTATGGCCCTCAGTAGACATTTTCTCTGTATAAGTCTTTTTATGTTTATATGTAGGTATTTTATCCTGTCGGCTGCTATTATAGGGAATCTTTGTAACTAACAAGCTCCCCTGGTGATTATTATAGGCATCGAAGACCAATAATTTAGGACAGGGATACTGATTCATTTGGTCTAGAGTGGGACCTGGGCATCAGCATTTTTTTAAAACTACAGGTGATCTTTTTGTTAGTTTGTTTTAAAGATTTTATTTATTTATCTGACAGACAGAGATCACAAGGAGGCAGAGAGGCGGGCAGAGAGGGAGAAGCCGGCTCCCCGCCAAGCAGAGAGCCTGATGTGGGGCTCGATCCCAGGACCCTGGGATCATGACCCGAGCCAAAGGCAGAGGCTTAACCCACTGAGCCACCCAGGTGCCCCTGGGCATCAGCATTAAAACCAAAAGGCTCTTCTGATGATGCTGATATTCTAATGTGCAAACAGGCTTGAGAAATTCTGAGCTATTATGGAATTTTTCTGGAGCACAGGAAAACTCCAAATCAATTCATGTCCACCTATTAAATGTCCTTCTCCTTGGACCTTCCTTATACTCCATGGAGCCCAAAGTCCCTGCCATGCTGTCTGTAGCTCTAACCTGTCCCAGCAGCACTTTACCTTGGTCTTTGCTTCTACCACGAGGGCCACATCTTCAAGACGTATCCCAAATTCTCCATCCTGATAGTAACCAGGCTCTAGGAAACACAGACATGCTGGTGGTATTAAGCAGGAGAAGGACCCAAGTCCGTGTTTCCTGTACCAATCGAGGAGTGGCTGGAGGCCCAGCTGCCTGGCTGCTCCAGGCTCGGGCAGACCCACCACTGACCGTAGCGGAGGCCAGGACTTATGGCCCAGCAGGGAAGACATAAGAGCTCACTTGGATCCTGGAGGCACTCCTATCTCCTGGCGTGCTACTGTCCTGTTACCCCAGCATTTGACTGGAGACTCCAGAGTTTGGATGTACAACCAGGAACCAACTCCCAAGGGCAAAATGAAGGTTTGAGCTGAAGGGATTTAGGATTAGGATGGGACAATGCACTTGGGGCTGGGAGTGCTGGAGCCCAGAGGGCCTGTGCCTGGCATGCTCTCTGAAGGCTGGTGCTCCCTCAACTGCAGTCGTAGGCTGGTCTTAGAGTAGGGAGGGGGGTGGAAGAGCCCAAGAGCCATACCGATGGAAGTGAACATGCCCTTGGCCATGGGGATGTTGCCAGACTGGAATCCCACTGGCCCTGGAAAAGGAGATGTAGGCATGATGTCAACTCTCCCATACTCACCAGCTTGGAAACTAGCAGGCTCTAGGGAGGAACAGGTAACTGGGGACTGCTGGGGGTTCTTTAGCAGCACTTGTCCACCACATCACTGTCTACCTAGGGCTGGTATGGAGACCAGACTGGCTCTGCTTTTCATTACTCTGACATTGATGCCAGCCACCTGCTAGGCCTTGACCTGCCACTCTTCTCTCTGAGCCCTTCCCCAGTGCCAAGCAGGCAGCAGGAAGGGCCAGTTCCTACCATTTCTCACTTCCTTGTGGAGCATCACCTCCCACCAGCTGGGTGGGTCACTGCATCCCTGTGGGTCTTAGTCGTTTCCATACCTGTGAAATGCTCTACCTCCTTCATAAGACGGGGGACCCCAGGGAAGTGTAAAAGAGACACCTACACTCATGCACGCACAGGAAGTTGCCAATGCCATGGCCTGTCCCGTGACCATAATTGAGCCCGACATCCCACAAGGCTCTGCGGGCAAAGACCTCCATCACTCGCCCTGGAAGAGAGATGGCCCCAATCAATCGGCTGGACCCCAGACGCTCTGCTTCACCCCATGCTGCTTTCTTATCCCAGAGCCAACTCCCAAGATGGTACCCGTGGAGAGTTGCTCCTGAGAGGAAGCTTAGCTAGCATGCACTTTCCCCAGCACGTCTCACATCGTACCTATGACTGCCATAACCCACAGAGACCTCACCCTCCCCATGGACATATAGTATTGAATTAGGAGGCAGGAGGCCTGGATTCAAGGCTTCCTCCCCCAGTAACCCTCTGTGTGACCTTGGACAAGTTGCTATCACTCTCTGGGTGGGATCTATACAATCTATACAATGGATGGGATGAGGATATAATCCGTGCCCCACTAGCTTCCCAGGGTGGCCATCTGGGTCCAGTGAAATCAGGGCCTGAGTCTCTGGGCCCAGCCTGCTTTCCAAAACCCACCTGATGTACTAGCAGGAAAGACGAGTCTGGACAGATCGATATTTCCTATCAACACGCGGGTATATGCCTCCTGATGGGGAGAGGGAGAGGTAACATGCTGAGTAAGAGGAGGGTCTTGGTAGTTTTCAGGTGCTCAGCCTGGGCCCACACAGGTGTGTGGGTCCAGGCCTGCAGGGGGGCTTAGTTGGGGGGAAGGTGTGTGCTCACGTGTGGTCACTCAGGTTCTGGAAAATGGTCAGGGGCAGCTGAGGGGACCTGCTGAAACGTGGAGCTTGGTCCATGTGGTTCTCTTTGGCTGGCCCACAAAGGACATTTGTACATGGTGGTGGCCTGAGGCCTGACAGTGGGAGTTGGGAGGCAAGCTCCCTGAGCTAGAATTCTAAGCTGGCCACTCACAAACTCTGAGACCTTGGGCAAGCAACTTTAACCACTCGGTGCCTCAGTTTCATCCTTTGTATTGGAATGATCAGAGCACTAGCTCAGAAGGCTGTTGGGAGGAGTAGGTAGACTCCCACACATAAGGTGCTTCAAACAGTAAATGTTCAAATAGAGGTCAGTGCCCTTATTACTGTTATGCTCATCCTTCAGTTTTCTTAAGGCCTTGGGTTCGGGTTGGGGCCCCATAATCTGGGAGGTCAGCTTTGCTTGGTTGGGCTGCTCACCTTGTGGATAAAGGGAGGGAGACAGGCTGACAGAAACCTCTTTACTCCTTGTGACAATGTGGTAAGTCCCTTTCATCACACACACACACACACACACACACCACACACACACACACACACACACACACACGCACACACACACACGCTTGCCATCTTGCGCAGGACAGCCTATGGACTCAACCCATGAAACTGTGAGCTCCTAGAGGCCTGGCCAGCTTTTGATTTTTTCTCTCTTTCCAGCACCATGCCTGAGTCATGGTCTGCTTGCCGAATGCATGAATGCAACCCCCACCCCCGCCGCCCGCTGCCACTTCCCACCCACTCAGAGGCGCTCAGTGCACACAGGGGAAGTCCTAGCCTCTGCCCCAGGTGGACCAGCCCTCACTCCTTTCTGGAAACCTCCAGCTCCTTTCTACCTCACTTCTGAGACTGCCTGTGCTATTTCTCTCTGCCTGGAATTCTTTTTCCCCTCCTTCCTGCTGCACACAGGTTTAGGCACACAGACAGCACCAAGTAAATATTTGTTCACTGATTTCCTGAAAAGGGGTGGTGAAGAGCTTCAGCTGAGGCCCTGTTGGAAGCTGAAATATCTCTGGGGAAATAGCCAGGAGCATTCGGTTTTCTAGTTCTATCTTGCTGTGTGACCCTGGGCAAACTGCTTAACCTCTCTGGGCCTCAGTTTTAGCCTCTGTAAAATGAAGGGCTTTTGCTGGAGTGATTGCTTGGATGTCTCTTGGGTAAAGGTGGGTAGGGGAATTCTGGGTCCAATGCTTACCTTTTGGAAAGCAGAGGGGGTACCCCAGTGGATTGTTCTGGTGATGTCTGTGGTTCCATCCCTGTGGACAAGGAAGAGCAACATATACAGTTCTGCTGAGTACCTGGGGATAGGGATTGTGGCTGTGTGCTTCCTGTGTGCTTTCCACTCGGGTTCGAGCAGCAGGAATGGGGTGGGGCTGAGGTGGGTTAGGGGTAAAGGAAGAACACAGATGCTATCCTCAAGTCCCCATCTTCAGCATCTGTGCATAAAGGGATTCTGCAAAGCTGTTGAGTTCAAAATCGCTAGGTTGTGTGACAATCCTGATGCCCACATACATACACCACCCCCATATCGCCTATTTTGGCTGTTTTATAAACATGAGTTTCTTGGGTCAGCCTGGCTTTCAAAGCAGAGTTTCTTCCAGGCTTTCAGGGAGGCTGGAGGGAGGGGGAATATCCCATTTTTACCAGTGAAGAAACTGAGGTTCAGAGAGATCGTCACACTCTTACACATTCACATAGTTATTTCCCATTTCTAGAACACTTTTGCAGCTCCCTTGGAAGGGTAGCAGAAGAGGCCACGTTATCCTCATTTCCCATTACCCTCATTCCCCAATTGAGGCCATGAGCTATCTCCCTTTCTGAGCCTCAGTGAAGCCAGGCCTGGAGCAAATGCTGACTCTACACAGTCCTCTCCTTGTAAACATGGATCTGACCCAAGGAGTTGCTCAGAGTCCCAGGGAACTGAAGCCAGGAGCCAAAATGTCTGACTCCCAACCACCAGCGGCAGCTGTGCCCCCAGATGGCCCCTGTGGCCACCACCAGGGAGGGGGAGGGGAGAAATGGTCCCAGGGCCCTGGGGATTCCTCCCTGGGAGCAGGTCACAGGGCGTGGCTGACTTCTTCAAGAAGGAGAGAAGAGGAAGTGAGGTGACCATTTCCCTGGCCTCACCCTGCTCAGAGCGTGCCCCAGTCCAGCAACGCCCCACAAATCCACTTCCTCTTTACACACTGGCCATCTCAAGTACACAGTACACACAACGCCACACTGGGGACGAGCAAAGTCTGCTAGGCTAAGCTCTCGTGTTAGCTCCCAGAGCTGCGCTTGGAACAAGCGAAGAGCCTTTGTCATTAGCACGTTCCTCATTTCCACAGGACAGAGAATGGGAAATGGTTTGAAACTCCTTGCTCCTCCATCAGTTCAGCACACCCCTTCCTCCCCGCAACCAGCCCCACCCAAGCTTTCCACAATCCACTTGCTTCCTAGATGAGAAGGGGGGAAAAACCTACTGGCTCATCTCAACTTCTGTGTGAATGATTGGTCACACATTTGGAAAAATTGGGTCAGCCTATTCTGCACATCTGTCCTGTCTAGGTGTTCAGACTGTGCACTGTACAAGGGTAGCATGGCTGAAGGGGTACCAGGCACTTCGTGGTTATATAGGAATGCCAATGAGAGCACACAGGTAGACACACGGATCGTGGAGTCTTGGAGCAGGGGACAGGGCCCTCCTACAGGACCCAACATGGCCACGCACACACTCACGCATATCTACTCACAGACGCATACCCGTGCTGACAGGTGTGCCCAGTTCCAACTGGGCTCCAGGCATCCCCCGAGACTGCTTTTCTTACCTGCCTGCTGCTCTCGGAAGCCTGATCTTGCCCCCTACTCCAACCTGACATGGGTACCTTGTCTGCAGTGTGGGGGTACTCGTGCTGCTGATGGCGTGGGGACCATGTCCTGGGTACACACGAGTAGATGAGAACATGGGTACGGTGTCTGTGTGGCCAAGCAGGGCTGCTCAGACTGTCATGATATGTGGGCTTCAGGAACGTTTTACTTGAGTAAGGAGAGATGATTCCTGATTCTCACCGAGGTGCTGCACAGGCAGCCCCACTCTTGAGGTTTTTGTGTGTTTTCCACCGTGCAGGGGTCCCCAGGTGTGCAAATGGGCACGATGCTCAGGCTCATTCCACCCAGGGCTCTCCTTTCTCAGACAGAGGATTCACACCCAGGAAGGGGAGAGCTGTGGCCAGCTCTTGGGAAGCCCTGGATGTCTGAACTGAGGTAGTTGGCCAGGGCAGGGTGGGGGATACTTACCAGTATTGCCCCCCAGAATCCAGCAAGTACATCTCATCTGAAGACAGCTTCCGGTGCTGCTCCTTGGTTGGACTAGGAAGGGGAGAGCCACTGAGAAGGGTGCAGCCTAAGCCTGCACTGGGCAGGGTAGGGGTGGAAGCAGGGGAACCCCTCACCCCTTATATCCCCAAGGGCCCTGGGCAAGTACTCGGTTGATGCCATGAATGTCCTCAGTGCACACCTGTTGATCTTGTACCTCACTGAGCAAGGTTCCCAGGAAGGGGAGAGAGATAGGAGCCTGGAAGGTGGGAGCCTGGAGAGCCTCAGAGAGCATCCAGGGCCACCATCTCCTCCTGCATAAGGAGACGCAGGCCAGCAGAGGCTCAGTGGCTTGTGGGAAGCTGTGTGGTAAAGCTGGGAAGGAGATGGGCCTGGACCCAGACGCTCAGTCCCGTGCCCCCTCTAACTTTCTATGACCTCTGAGAGCAGAGGGCTCCGAGAAGCCAAGACACAGGAAGGGGGGGAGGTCCTTGAGGGTGAGGCTGGAAAGCAGGAGTCGGTAAGGCCAAGGAATTCCTCTCCTGCTACGCTCTAGTGGGGAGAAGGGGTCAGGCCAAGGCAGCTGCAGGCTTGGGAGGCTCCAGGGGAGGGAATTCTGGGGTAGGCCAGACTGGCCCATGGAGGGCATTTGATCTGCTCTTGCTGAGCCTGTGCCGGGCTGAGGCATTCTGATCAGCTTGGGCCCCCAAATTCCATCAGGCAGGCCTGCCGGTGTTTGTTTTCTACGGAGCCAAACATCTGGTTAGCTCACCTCTGGGCCCACCTTCATCGGCCCAGGCTGAGTAAATAGGCTTTTCTCCCTGTGTATTCGATCGTGAGCTTCAAGAATTAGCTAATATAAATAACTCACAGGAAGCCAAGGAAAAGCATCCAAAAGCAGCCCTCCCTCCCTTCCAGATCCCTCAGCCCTGTGTGCTCACAAAGTCTCAGCCTTTCGTGGCAGAAAACTGCTTGGGCCTTTTCATTTCAAGAAGACTCCTGATCCCTGACTGAGGTCCACTGCCCACCCGTAGCCCCCACAGTACTAAAGTCCTCAAATCTTAATGTGGACTTGGGTCCCAGAGCCACCACCGCCCCCCCCCCCCCCCCCCACCACATACATCAGGATCTCGATGCCCCGGGGCCCTAGAAAATTTCTTCTCCTGAAGTACCTGTAGTGGGCTAAGGCAGCATTCAGGCCACTAGCAGAGATGGTTTCGAAACTGGGTCCAGAGGAGAACGCTTCCTCTCTGGAAATCACATGGCAGAAATGGTCAACAGACAGCTCAGAAGCTAGGCTGGGCCCAGGATATCTAACCAGGGCAAATGAAGGTCACAGCTGCCTCTACCTCAGCCAGACTCCATTGGGCGCCCCCAGCCCCACCTCCCGCTGCCATCTTCCCAGGCTCCAGTCTGTCAGCTACAGAGCCTTCCAGGTCAGAGAAGGAGGGACTGTAGACACTAATTACTCCCCCTCCACCTCCATTTTACAGATGGGAAAACCAAGGCCCATGGTCCCACAGCGAGTTTGTGGTAAAGCAAGAGTAAAGAATCCTAGCTCCTTGTGTCTGAAAGCTTCCCCAGGCCCAGGGCGGCAGCCTGCACCTCAAGCCTGCTTACGGCCTGAGTCAGACGTGCTCTCAGGGAAGGTCGCTCCCCAACTTGATATTTTCAAGCTGTCCAGGAGCCCCACCTGGCCTGAGCCAGCCTCCCCACCGCCCTCCCTGCAGGGGAGAGAGGGTCTGTGCCTGAAGCAGACACTAGGGGGCACTGATGGGTTGTGGCCCTTCAAGTTGGCCTGCTTTGAGCAGGCGGCGGGGGACTGTCATGGAAGACGCCCTGCCCAGCTCTCCTACTACGCACGGACCTGTTACTCCTTGTTCCAGAGAGGCCCCCCAATACGAGGAGGGCCTTCCTTCCTGCTGAAGTAAAGAGGCCCAGTCTCCCTCCCTGCCCCCACCCCCAGACTTAAAGATAGCCCGTTCCAAAGGCGGGCGGTGGTTCTTCACCTGCGTAACTGGTCCAGCCACTGGGCCCCTGAGAACTCATCCACCGTGCCTTTGGGCACGTTCTTCTCCAGCCACACCAAGTAGCGGATCACAGCCACGGCGTCCCGCACCTGGAGCCGGCGAGCAGAGCAGGGGACCGGCTGAGCTCGCAGCCCCGGCTCTGGGACCAGGGAGATCAGACAGCTGCCCCGGGAGCTGAGCTCCCCACACTCGAGGGCTTCCCTGACTGTTTGATGATATTAAGGGATTCTTGTCCAAGTTTATATATGATCAGAGTGTGATTATGTTTTGAAAAGAGTTCTTATCTTTCAGAGATACTGACTGAAGTGCTATCTTTTAGAGATACTAAAGTTTTCACAGGAGAAACCGGATGATAGCTGGGATTTGCTTTAAAAACCATCCCTTGGCAGAGGATGGGCGTGGAGGCAAGGACCGTGGCCTTTCAGACCAAAGGGCCACAAGCTACCTAGTGCTGAAGCTGCAGGAGGGTGCGGGGCAATCATTAGGCTAGTTTTTCTACTTTTGTATATGTTTAAACTTTAAACTTTTCTATAAGAAAAAGTTTGGTAAAATGAGGCGATTTCTTCTCGTTTGGACAGGAATATCCAAAAAAGCAAGCCATCCTCTTGCAAGGGTGGGGAAATCAGGCGAGCAAAGACGAGGAATGTGCCAGGCAGTGATCAAAGCAATATATATATAAAATTCAATATAATTGTATTTATATAATTATGTAACTCTGTTTATATATATGTAATTATATATTTATAAACTCATTATATATTTGTCTATGTGCATATTTCTATTTATATGTATCTACTTATTTCTATGTAATTGTATAAAACACATGTATATGTGATTATATATTACAATTAAATATTAATTAAATATTACTTGTAATTTTTATAGCTATCATATATTATATAACACATGTTTATTTATCTATTTAATCCTCACCACAACCCTATGCTGTAGATTCCTGTTATGATACGCATTTCACGTATCTAAAGTAACGGAGGCCCAGAGAGATGAAGCAACTTGCCCAAAGTCACCCAGCTTGGAGGCGGGTAGAGGAGCTGAGATTTGAACTCAGACACTCTAGCTCTGGGGCTCAGGCTCTAGACCATGGTACCAGGCTGGGAATAAGGGGACAAAGCTCAGGTGGGTGCCCAGGAGTCTGGGGTCCACTTCACTGTTTCCACTGAACTTCTTCGGGTTCCTTGGCAGGCTTTCCTTTCTAACTCATCAGACCAGGAGTTCCCAACAGGCTAGGCTGCCTTCTCATGACTTACGTGGCTGGCCCTGAGGAGGGCCTGCTCCTTGCTGTTTTTCACTGCCTTGGTCACCATCACTGGGGAGTAGGTGTCTTTTATAAGTTTTTCCTGTCATGGACAGAGAGGAAGAGGTCAGGGAGCATCTCCAGGGCAAAGTGGGGTTTGGAAAGGATTGGCAGGAAGTCCCAGCTAAACTGACACTTGCCATTCCCTATAGTGACAATGGCCTTTCCGTCCAGGGTTTTCTGGCTGCCTAGGTCTCTCCCTGTCTTCCGTGTCCGGCTGAATCTTACCTCCCTCCCTGCCCCTGAATCTGGGATTCTCTGGGATGGATCAGAGCTTAGTCCCTGGGATGGATCAGAGCTTAGCCCCTGCCGCTCCATGGGCTGTCTAACAACGTGGGATTCCCGCACTATCATATCATCACAGATAACATTTATGGAGTGCTTGCTGTGTGCCAGGCATGGGGCCTCACACGTACTATCGCCTCTAATCTCTTCAGAGCAACTCCTCTGAGGTCGGGACTCTTACTGCCATTTTGCAGGTGAGGAAACAGAGGTCCAGACTGGCTAAGTCACTTGTCCAAGGTCATTACGTAGTCAGTTCAAGGTAGAACCAGGACTCAGTCTCAGGTTTGGCGACCTCAGAGCCTCTGCCCTACCAGGCTGTGTTCCCTCTAGTCTGCTTGACAATCTTCGGGCTCTCTGCGGATGGACACCTGCCTCCTCTTTTTCCATCTCTTCACAGGGAGGCCTAGAAGGGGACTGACCAACTGTCTGAAGGGCTGAGGGGCTGTGGCCCCACTTTAGGTCAAGACTTATCAGGACTGAGGTGGGGGTGATGCCTGGCCCAGGCGGGGGTCTGGCAAACCTACCACAGGTATCACTTCATAGAGCCCGTATGTCGTGTAGCTGGTCCCAATCCAGATCTTCACATCTCCGGAGGCATAGGTCTGGACGGTGCCACGGACCTGGCTGTAATCCTCGAGCTGCACACACATGGAGCCCGTGCAGTTGGAGTTCAGGTACTTCAGGGTCTTAGAGTCAAGGCAATCCTTGTTTACAAATAACCTGGGTCAGAAGGGAAGGTCAGGAGGGTCCTGAGGGTCTCTCAGGACAACACAAAGACAAGGATCCCTTCATTCCTAGAGGTCAGAGGAGCCCCACCAAGGGAGCCAAGCAGACCAGATTTGCAGTAGGTGGGAACAGAGGTCAAGGGTCAGGAAAAGCTGACTGGAGGCTTCCTAGTGGGCCCTGTTGGGAGCAGGCAGCAGGATCCTGGGAAGGGCAGGGTAAGTGGTGGGGCGGGCGCAGTGCAGAAGTTGGGGGAAGTCCCGGAGAGCAAGCCGTACCTGATAGAGGAGTCTGTGAGCAGTGTGTAGGAATAGAAGAAGGGGTTATAAGGGATGTCACTGCCTCGAAGGTTGAAGAGCCCTGGGGAAGAGAATTGATGGGGACTTTTTGAGGCTGATCGGCCTGAGGCAAGTCCATATCCCACCTTTGCCCCACTGTTTGCTCTGCCCGACCAAAGAGTCCCAGCCATATGCCTGCACATCTGCCTCTGAATGTTTTTCAGGGGTTTTCTTTGGGGGGGGCGGTCTTTGAGGCACTGATGAGAGCTATGCCCCCTTCCTCCCAGAAAAATGAAGACACCCAGCCAGCAGTCAGCGTAGTTTTGGGGTGTTCCCAGCAAATCTGAAGCCCAGTGCTGGGACAGAATCAGGCAGCATGTGGTGCTAAACTGGGGAGTGTGAATGCCCCAGGCTGGTAGCCGCGCCAATGGCAGGTGTTAGCTGGGCCCTTTCCCTTCCTGAGACAGCCTTTGCCGCTGTGGTCAGCCCATTCCTCTGATGGTCCATAGGCTGGCTCCAGCTTGCTCTGCACCTCCTGGTTTTCTTATTCAGCCGCTTTCTCAGTTCCCACAGGCCATGGCCATGGACTTCACGGAACCCATGGTTATAAGGTGATTGGGGGAGGAATCCAGTGCTGCAGGGCCCAGGAGGCATGGGGGTTGGGGGGAACCAGGTGCCCGCCCCGTGTCCACAAGTCCATACTCACAGGCCGTCTCATCGAGTGCCGACAGAAGGACTGCAGTTGGGCCTTTGTAATGCTTCTGCATCTGGCTGCGGATGTCAGCTACCTTCTCCTGCCAGGTGCTCCCTAGAAAAAAAGGTGCCCAGAGAAAGCATAAGCGACATACTTTCCCTTTGGCACACTGTTTCTGAGAGGGCTCCCTTAGGGCAATCATTTTCCATGGCTTTCAAAGCAATAGAAACCTTTCTCCAAACAAACTCTCACTAGTGTAGTTGTTAAGGACATGGACTCTGGAACAACTGTCTGCATTCAAATACTGGCCCTGCCATTACTAGTTGTGTGACCTTGGACAAATTCCTTAACCCCTCTGGGTCTTATCCTGTATACCTGTAGAATGAGGATGGATTATCATGATAGTATCTAGTCAATAGGGTTGTTAGGGGGCTCAGATGAATTAATATTTGTAATGCGCACAGAGTGGTGTCTTGGTGTATAGTAAGCCTGATGTAACTTACTGATGAATAAATAAGCATGTAGAACAGAGATTGAGAGAGCAGCCTTAGTTGAAGGGCGAAGGGATCAGACTAGGTCATGTTCAAGCCTCTTTTCTGAAATGACCTGGTGCCTAATTAGCCATGAGTCCCTGAAAATTGTTTTAATCCCTCTGACCCATTTTACAGATTTTATAGAGACTTCAAGGAGGAAGAGGGACTTGTCTAGGGTTTCATAGCTAGCAAGGGGGTAGAGTTGAGATTTCCAGGTAGGTCTGTTTGACTACATGACCTTCTTAGTCTATATGGACACTGGACTGTCTTGCTAACATTGTCCGTCCCCAGACTTGTCCTTAAACTCTGTGTCCCAGAGCTGTCCTTCCTAGGATGCTTGTACCCTGGTTCTAGTTCTCATCTTTTATTCCTACTCTCTGCAATGCAGATGAAGAGTCTGCCCCTAGGCAGGGCTCATAATTTGCTGGCAGAAGGTCGTAAACATTAAGGGTCCCAGTTGGGCTCAGAGATTAGGCATAAGTAACTTAATGCCATTTATAAAAAACTTTATGCAAATGGGTAAAAACTATTCAACAAAAGCCAGAGTTTTGGGTGATACTTTTTAAGGATTATCTTATTTTATTGGGTAAAATATACATAAAGTAAAATTTATCATTTTAACCATTTTAAAAAGTGCACAATTCAGTGGCTTTAAGAACATTCACACAATTGGGGCGCCTGGGTGGCTCGATTGTTAAGTATCTGCCTTTGCCTTAGGTCATGATCCCAGGGTCCCAGGATGGAGCCGCATCTGGCTCCTTGCTCAGCAAGAAGACTGCTTTCTCCCTCTCCCACCTCCTTTGCTTGTGTTCCCTCTCTCCTATGTCCCTCTCTGTCAAATAAATAAAATCTTAAAAAAAAGAACATTCACATGATTGTGCAACCACCACCACTATCTAATTCCAGAACATTTTTATCATCCCAAAAGGAAACCCTGTAGCCATAAGCAGTCACTCCCCATTGCCCTTCTCACTCAGCCCCTGGAAACCATTCACTGACTTTCCATGTCTATGGATTTACCTGTACTGGATATTTCAAACAAATGGAATCATACACTATGAGGCCTTCTCTGGCTTCTTTGTTTAGAATTATGTTATCAAGTTTCATGAATGTGTGACAACAAACAAAGGCAAATTTAATTGTCTGATGCATACAGGTATCTTTGAATAATTAACTTTTCCCAGTCTTCTCTTTTCCCTTTGCGCCTTTTAAAGCCTGTCAGTTGCTAGAGAGAAAGTCTCGCTTGCCTCTGTAAGTTTATAGACTCAAGAACTCTGTGCTTGGGCTTCTGGGCCCAGTTCCGGCTCTGGATGGCTCTTCCTTGAAGACTAGCAGTCTGTGAAGACTCAGGATTACCGTCACTTGTGGGCAGTGACAAATCCCGTATGAATTCTCCCTCCATCCTTGGAAGGCTTTCCCCCTTTATCCCCTCCCTTTCCTGACATAACTTCACCCTTCTTTATCTGAAAGGGATGAGTTTTACTTACGATTACACAGTCTCGGCTAGCAAATTTTAAAAACTTTTTCGAGATACAGAATGATTCTGCAAATTATATCAGAATGGATAAAGAAAATTGGACACAATTTTAGCTTGTTTCATCCTCCTTGCTATTTTGAAATTTCCCTCCTGCTTTCTTGACTCCTTTTCAAACAAAGAATGTGCACAGACCTGGATGAGGATAGGGGCCTCTCGGATTGCCCAACATTCCTAGGAATCCACATCCATGCGCTCTTTTGGAATTCCTGGGGAGGTAGGGGGTGGTGGTAGCCAAGACAGTGATTCATCATCAGTAGCCTGGTTCCGGTCAGGATTTTAGTTAACCACTTACCAGAATCATAGAACATGCTGTTCTTTTAGGACATATTTAGATGGTATCAATGACGTCAAAGTGAAGATTAGCTATGTTAGAATTTGGGGTGATCACTTCACTTTCCTTTTGCTCTGGCCAAAACCTGAGCTGTAATTTGTGCCATGGATGGCCCCTGAGCTTAGTTATATACTTCCTTTGTCAGCTGGCCCACCTGACCCTAGTCATCTTACTCCAGGAGGGCTGGAAGGCAGGGTTTGAATGAATCAATACAAGCCAATTTCCACTACTGGACAAGCAGCTCATATCATGTTTTTTTTTTTTCTCTCTCTTCAAAGGGGTAGGGTTCTTTTTTTTTTTTTTTTAAGTCTTGCTCTGACTCCCTTGTTTCCTCCTTTCCTGTTCCTTCTTGCTTCAAATCTCAACACTATTTATTCCAGCATTTTCTATATATGGTGTGAGGACCTTTTGATTCAGACGGAGATCTTTGAGATGAGAGGGCCCAGACGTCTGCTTTTTCAATAAGCATCCCAGGCAACTCGGGTGCACAAGAAAGTTTGAGAACCTTTGCTTTGGTAATTCCCAGGACAACATTTTCAGCCAAAGGAGCAGCAGTAGGGACCGTGTTGCTTCAAGCTGGGAAGAACATGTTTAGAGAATCACCTGTGAATGCATCCTGCAGGGCATAAATGTGCTGGCTTGGAAACTGAGGCTTCTCTGATCCCCATGCCAGGTCCACAAGGTTGGCTGTGGTGGATGCCAGTTTTATGTTAGAGTTTTTGAGGGCCGTGTTGTAACTCTCCCAGGAACCTGCAGAGACAGAAATCCGTCACTCGTCCCCTGCCTATTTACACCTCAGGAAAAACCGTGACTCGGGCAAAATTAGTCCTTGTCTGCTCTGCCTCCCACTCCACTCCTGCTGCCTCAGCTGCCCAGAGCAGGTCCAATCAGTCTGGTCCTCCTGGGGTATGTCCTCCCAGCCCCCTCTTTCTGCTTTCAAAGCCCCATTGCCTGGGGCCCACTCCAACACTGCCACAGCCTACTGGCTAGGTTTATCTTTTTAAGTGCCAGTGGCAGTGGGGCCTTCTTCTCAGTACTATCCATTTTAACAGCGCATCAGTGCCCCTGCCCAAAGGAATGGTGATGTTCACACCATCACCATCAGAAAGGCTGACAAAGGGACGCCTGGGTGGCTCAGTTGGTTGGACGACTGCCTTCGGGTCGGGTCATGATCCTGGAGTCCTGGGATCGAGTCCCGCATCGGGCTCCCAGCTCCATGGGGAGTCTGCTTCTCCCTCTGACCTTCTCCTTGCTCATGCTCTCTCTCACTGTCTCTCTCTCAAATAAATAAATAAAATCTTAAAAAAAAAAAAAAGAAAGGCTGACAAAGAAGCCAGCTCTGAAGGGGGAGCCTTTAGATATACATACATGATGACTTTGCCCTTGGGGGCAATCTGGCCAGCTGGCTGGGGTCCCAGAGCCGAGGGAGCTGTATTTCTCGGAGGAGGGGAGTATGCACCTTTGTTCAGAAACCCACTGAACTCCTTTGACCTTCCAAGCTGCCTTCCAGAAGAGGGCTACCAAATGATTCTAGTGCCATAACTGGTAGAGCTCCAGAGCATAGAGGATGGTTCTGGGTTCAAGAACATCCTGGCCTACTGTCTGCTAGATCTTAATGACTCCTCAAGTCTTCTAGGTTGGGTCTCTGTACTCGTGACTTTGAAAAAAAAAATCTGCATTCATTCTTTTACATATACTTTCATTTCGCAATCCATGAATAAATCTTTGTTGCAAAATATTCTGCAACTACAACTTCAGACACTATCTTTGGAGTCATCCTGTCCCTCCTTCTACCAAGGAATGCTTCTTTACATCCCAGAGCGGCTAAGTCACCCTTGTTGGTGGGGACAAAGGCAGGAGTGAGGGACGAACATACCGATGGAGAAGAGAAAGGGGTCGAAGCCCACACTGCCTCCAGCAGGAACCTCATTGAGGAGCCAGGTGACGATGGAAATTATGTCAACTGAGAGGAAGACAGGAAAGAATGTAGTGTCACCTCCAGGGCCGGACCCAGGTCTTTCTGTCAGACTTCTGTCTGTGACCGGCCTACCATATCTGTCCTCCTCGAAGTTAGCCTCAAAGCTTAGGGACGGCTTCAGATTTCCAGAGTCTCCCATAGAGGCCCATCATGGTTTTGCATGCATTTTCTTACCTGTGCCTTCTTGAACCTCGTCCAGGTTTCAATGTTTGGGGGACATGTGACCCCTTTTACCTTCTTTATGTAGCTCCCAGTTGCAGTCCATCTGCCGCTCAGCCTGGGTCCAGTAGCGACTGTCAGTCCAGAGACCTGCTTTCCCCATGGTCACCACTGCCGTTCCTGGGGAAGAGCAGAGAACCTTGGAGGTGAGGATGAAGGTGGGGACGGTGGCCTTGGGCAATGCCTGGGCAGTATGGTGCCAGGCAGTATGGTGCTGGCTCTGAGAATGTCACAGGGGCCTCTGGAAAGAACTTCTCTCCTCCGTTGCAAGGAAATGAGGCAGGAGACACTGAGGAAAGCATTAGGGAAAGCCAGCCTGGGCATACCTGCTTTGTGTTGAGGGCCTCTCCTAAGGAGGGATGAGTGGGTTCTGCTTCTCACAGTCCCACAGACTCAATGCTACATGTAGATGCTCTCAGGAAAGACGGTATGCTAGCTAGTCTCAAGACTCAGTGCCTGATAAGGACACTAAGCCAGGGGCTTAGCTGAAGACAGGCAGAGGAGCCAAACCCAGAGATCTTGGCAAGGATGGGTAAGGCAAGGGAGTGTGAAGCCCAGGGGAAGAATGTTTAAGGATCAGCAAGGGAAGCTTGGATTTCATTCGAGGGGCCAAGATCAGGGTGGGAGGTCCCTTCAGAAACTGGGACCCCATAAAGGGCCTCTGTGTTTGCGTCTCATTTGGCTACAGGAGGTGTTTTCCAGAGAAACGACCGGCCAGGTAAAACTGTCCCCAAGTGAGACACGTGTGAAGGGAATCAGTGGGCCCCTAGTGGCTGGATGTGGACGTAGCAGCTGTTCCTGAAAGGAAGCCCAGGGTGTGCTAAGCTAGGCCTGGCTGTGGCAGGGCAGCAAGCACAGGAGCAAAGCCAGGACAGCCATCTGCCTCATGCAGAAGTGTAGCTGGGGAGCTATGATGTGTGCCCTGGTGACCCTTTTCAGAGTGGTGGAGGGGAGGCGGAGCCTCTGACACTAGGTCCTGGGGTCCTGGCTTCTGAGAACTGGCCACATCAGAGCCTCTGGGACCACGTCTGGGTCTACCAACAGAAGCAATAAGGGCTGAATGGCTCTCACCTGCCGACCCTGTAAAGCCTGTAATCCATGCACGCCTCTTATCACGATTGCCGATGTACTCACTCTAGGAAATCAATAACACCATCATTAGCCTTTTTCATGGAGTTAGACCCCTACCCCCCATGGAAGACCCCCCAACCACATCCCAGTTCTTTCTGTCTGGTCAGATTCTACCAGTTCTACAAGCCCAGGCACACTGGGCACCTCGTCCAGGAAGTCCTCTGCCACTCCTCCAGATCTCAGGATCTCCTCTTCCTTTGGACAGCTGTATTTCTCGGAGTCTAAATCCCATAGTCCAGCCCTGGGCAGAACAGCCTAAGAAATCTCATCTCCCTGGCCAGAATGCAAATTCTGTGCAGTCTGGGATCATGTCTTTTGGTCCTTCTGGGTTCTTCCCTCCAGCTGTCCCGCCCCTCCCCAGTCTAGTACAGTACACTGAGTACATCATGAAGAACTTCTGCAGAGGGCTTCCCACATTATTGTATTTTGATCGTCATCATCCTTCAAGACAGATCTCAATATTTCCATTTTGCAGAAGAGGAAACTGAGGCTCAGAGAAGTTGAGACACTTACCCAAGGTAAAAAAACAAATTCAAGCAATCTCATTGACACTGAAAGTGGCTTCTTTTCCGAACAGCTAGTGCTGGGAAGGTGAATGGGATGTAGGTGGGACCAGTGGTGGGGAAAGGATGGGTTGGGTGCATAGGGTTGCAGCTTTGGGAAAAGCAGTTCTTACTCAGACAATCTTGTTTCCTGTCTGCTCCCCTCCCCCAACCTACACCTCAAACTTGTATAGCCTAGGCCTCTGGATCATTCCAATGCTCCATCCATCAGGTTATGGGAAGGTTAGAATTCCTCCAGTCCAATTCCTAGCCCATACTCTAACCTCCTAGGGCCAGAGTGCCCTAAACATTCATTCTGGATCTGCCATCTGAGAATGATCGAAATAGGTTCTGAACTTATTAATAGTTTCACTGCCTGAAGTCAAGGAGCTCTAGCAGTGTCTTCTCTCCTATGCAAAGAAATACATTCTTTCAGCTTCCCTAAAACTCCCATGTCTAAGCCCCCTACTTCCTTCCCTTTGCCTTTTGAATCCTTTCTCTGCCTTCATCTTCTGAGCCTTAACGGCCTCTGGTTTGTGGCCTGTTCTCATTGGCGGTCGACCCAGGAGAGCAGAGGGCGCGGGTGGGGGAGGAGCTGTCCCTCACCATGTGGGCATCCGTTTCAGGGATGATGTAGGCAGAGAGATTCTTGATGTGCATCTGCTGGCGGAGGGCTGTGAGCCGTGCCGTGGTATTGACCGCAGTAACTGGAAGGTACTGACAGGTGACAGGAAGACACCAAGACACACACAGAGACACACTGCTTAGAGAGGATGATGCCTGGGCCCAGTGTTAGGAGGCGCCGCCACCCTCTCCTTAGGCAGGTGTTGGGAGTGGGTAGGCTGGGCCAGCCTGGAGAGGAATGGGGTGGCAGCCGATGGTATGGGTTAGTCTTGATTAAGGGGCCTGGGCTAAGCGGAGATGGAGGTGTTGATGAACTTGGAGAGGAACTCCTTGTGACAGTAAATGGACCTGGGTCTGGGATGGGGACATGAGTGAGAACGGCATGAAACTGAACCCTGGCACTGGGCCAGGCTGGAGGGACAGTCTTTCTCCGGATACCCTGGAGGCGGAGTTGCCAATTTAGCAAATCAAAATACAGGATATCCATCCAGTCACATTTGAATTTCAGATAAGCCACATACAATGTTTTAGTATAAGTATGACCCATGCACTATTTGGGGCATACTTATACTAAGACACATATTCATTATTTGAAATTCAGATGTCATTGGGCACCCTGTATTTCATCTGGCAGTCCTACCTTGGGGACTTTTTCGAGTTTCTACTCAAATGGCAGAGGAGAGTGAATGAGTACCCCCAGCAATTTGGAGCATTATCCAGAAAGATCCCCTCTAAGCCAGACATTTCTTTAAAGGCTGTTTTATCTTTAAAATGAAAAGTGTGGGTTTTTGTTTTGTTTTACCTTCTGCTCAATGACATATCCATGTTTGTTTTCCTGTAGAAGCCTACCCACCAGCCTGCCCCAGTGGTCTCATAGTTGAGACCGGAAGCAGATATACCCCATGGGCCCTGAGGCTTCCGGGAACTGCTAGCAGGCCACCAGCTTTCACCTCTGTCTTGCCCCTGCCTGAGGAAGCTCTTTCGCCATACTCTGGTTGTGGGAAGAATCTTCTGGTCTCCAGGTAGGAAGCTGCTTACCTCTCACCTCCAATATGCCAGACCTTCTCCCCAGTCACACCCTAGGCCTCCCTCTTGTCCTTTCTGTTGGCATTTCTAGTTCTCTGTCTTCCTCCCTCCTCTTTCTGGGCCTCCCTCTGCGCTCGCTGTTCCTTTAGAACTTTTGTTTTCTCTCCTCCCATCCTCCTGTTTGCCTCTGCCTAGCCTCAGCCAAAGGTTAGCTAGGGGCCTCCACCCTCCTTCCCGCCCTCCCCCCTTTAGGGGAGCGGACCAGGCCAGGACAGAAGTAGGTAACCTGCTGTGGGATGGATGGGTAGGAGGGAGGGATGCGGGGGTGTCAGACACCTGAGAACGTGAGGCCCGCCCTGAGAGATGTTAATCAGAAACAGGGGCCCCAGAGTCCGGAAGTCAGGAGAACGGCTGGTAAGAGGGAAAGGCTAGCGACTGAGCCAGTGGGGGATGGGGAGGAGAGGGGAGCTAAGGGGCAGGTCCGGGGCGGGGCAGGTCCAGGGCGGGGCGGGGCCGGGGCGGGGCCTTACCGGAGGGCTGATGGAACAGTTTCTCACATCCTCTCCACTCAGGTCCACTGGTTTAGGGTGGCCCCAGGCACCCAAAGCTAGAAACGGCGAAGGGGAGAGGTGGGGAGTTAGGGTCACTTGGAGACCAGTTAGCTTCTAGAGAGCACAGGTACTTGGTCCCCCAAATCGCACTGCCTATCCCCCCCTGGCCTAGGTCATTTGAAACAAACAGTGCTGTCCAACTCGAGGATAAAAATAATCACATTTCATGGGAAATTTGGTGGAATGGGATGGCACCCTGGGTCACAATCAAAGAAACCTGTTTCATCGACAAGTGATTGCCACTTTTGCAGGGGTTTTAGTGCTCATTAAATCAATTTTTCCCTTCTAATCTAATTGGGTCTTTTCAGGGTTTACTGAACTGTTGTGTGCAAATTAAATTTTTGTAATCAAATTTTCTTTGAAATGCTCTAGAGGATCTCGCTAAATAATCACCCCACCTTCATTTTACCCTTCTATAAATCTAATTTTATATATATTGGGTTTACTTAAGTTCAAGGCCCACTTGTGCCATTTATTATAGTCCAAATCTCTGGCTCTCATTCCAGGCCCATTTTAAATACATAAAACAGTCAATCCCAGTCTGACATCGTCGCCTGGTGGAGAAAGGTAGGTTAGCATTTAAAGATCTTCTACTATGAGCCAGATGCTGAGCTCAGTAATTTATCTGTAGTATCTTTCTCTATACTTGCAACAAGCCTGTGAGGTGGGTATTACTGTCTATTTTCTACAGAGGAGGAAGCTGAAGCCCAGATAGGTTTGGTAACTGGTCCAGATTTTGCCGCAGTGAGTCAGTGGTAAAGCAGGGATTTGAACCTGGGCCATCTGAGTACAAAAAGTTAACCACAGAAGGGTGGTGACACAGAAAGGATAGAGTATATGAAGTCTTAGTTTCCAGTTTGGGCTCTGCCCCAAATTTGGTGTGACTTAAGGAGAGTCACCCGGTATTCACTGGGCAAACATTTCCTAAGTACCTACTGTGTGCCAGATACTGGGCTAAGTCCTATAGTCTCGGGCCTTCCAGTCCCAAAAATCCAGTAGTCTCTGATAGTACCTTCCCTCCAGCCCTGGCCTTTAGGGTTGTCCTCAGAGGGTAATGGGGGCCTGGGTAGAGGGAGACACTATACTTTTACCTCCTGAGTGGACTGAGCTACAGATAGGAGGGCAGCTGGCATCTAACTCCATAAACCCCTTGCCCAGCTGTCTTGGTCTCATAAACTCAAGGGGGAGATGAGACCCATGCTGTTGATCTAAGAAAATGATCCTATTTCTGTAGGAACAGATTGTTGGCAAAACGGTGTTTCTGAGATGCCAATATAAGAAGGAAGACTCAGCCAACCTGGGTCCCTCTGGACACCCAGATTGTTGTTCTCTGAGGCAGGGGCTGTGGCTCCCGACGGCAGGCTCTGCGGCTGTGTCTCTCTGTGTTTCCTGACACAGGGCCTGACCTTGGGGCAGTGCTCAGGAATTGGGTGCTGACTGAACGAGCGGGATCTTGTGGACAGAAAGGGGAGGGAAGGGAGGCATCCCTAAGGCTGGGGATGGAGTGCGTGTGGAGGGCATTGAGCTGGGCATCGAGTTGTGACCCAAGGGGAAAACAGAGCACCAGAGGAGTGACCAAGACTGAACTTTAGTTAGGCTCTTTCAAGCCGCTTTACTTGGATTTGACTTTGTCTATGTCCATCCTGTCCTTGCTGGGTCTGCATCACCCAGTCCTCAATAAGAATCTTGCTAAGCCAGTTTAGAGACAATCCCCCACCCTTAATATCTGATCACCTTTGCTATCTGATCAAATTCCTCATCCTTCACCCTTCATATCTGTTCACCCTGGCCTGCCTCCAGCAAGAATCCTATAAAGTTGGCTCAGCAAGAACCTCCCACCCCTGATGTCTCCTCTTAGTAATTTTCCATCCACTGTCCCCCTCACTCTGTTCATTGGCTCTAAATCCTCAGCCATCTTGGCTGTATTCAGGGTTGAGCCCAATCTTTCTCCCCTATTGCAACGCCCTTATTGCAATAGCTTTGAATAAAGTCTGCCTTACTCTTAACAAGTGCCAGAATCATCTTTTAACAGGCAGGAATGGAAAGGTGCCAAACCAGATTGATGTGAGTCTGGAGGGCCCCAAGGACTGACCCCGGTGTTCTTCTTTCGCAAGACAGAGAGGAGGACCAGGAGAGAAAGAGACAACCTGGGCCCCCGCCCTTACTCCAACCCTTTCTGAGCCCAGAGGGGAGAGGCCAGAGCTGCTCTCCAGCTGGATCTGCCCTCCCAGTGTGGGAGGGTGGGACCAGGATGCACATACCACAGAAGAGGACAAGCCAGGGGCAGCAGCCCCAGCGAGCCCAGGCCATGGGGTCTCCAGATGCTGGTGCTGGGTGGATGGAGGGATGGGGGAGAAGGGGCAGGCTGTTTCCCTGGCCTCTTCCTCCAGGCCTTCCCAGGGCAGGAGCAGCCAGGGGGTTGGGGCTGGCGACGGGGAGGAGGCGTCCGGCCGGTGGATGGAGAGTTCCCCTCTGGTCTCTTGCATCTGAGGACTCCGGGAGTCAGGAGTGGGGAGTACGGGTGGGTGGGGAAGATTGGGCTCTCTGAGCCCGCCCAATGCAGAGTCCAAAGTTCTCCAGGGCAGAGGAGCAGCAGCTGGTCTCAATCAGCCTGCTCCTCCCCCTCCCCCCCCCTTTAGCAGCTCGCCTCAGTCGTTCCTGATTGCTGTCCCCCTCCTTCCAGCAAGCTGTTTCCCATTAGCTCCCCCACCCCCGGCTCTGGCTCCAAGATGAATGTTTATCCTTCCTCCTCCTCTGAGCTGGCCTATCTCAGACAAAGCCAGTGTCCTCTCTCCCTAGTGTTTGGGAAGCCCCACTGCACCCCTCGGGGAAGTTGGTTACGGCTGGAGAGCTACTTTCTTCAGTTGGGGTTCGTCCCCTCAGGAGAGCCCACTCTGTGAAAAGTGCCACCAGCCACTGGCAGAACTGCCCTTCTCCTGGGACGGCGGGGACAGCGGGGTCCCACTCACTATTCAGCCATTGGAGCCATTCTTGGAACCACTCCTGTGTGGGAGGGAGTGAAGGCCTTGTTTGGAGGGATCAGAGGATGTCACTGAAGAGAGAAAAAGACTCAAAAAGGGGAATTTGGGGGCTCCCAGAAGACACATTTGGTGAACTGGACATGACCCTTCTGCCATAGCTTCTAGAACAAGGCTTTGGTTCCCCCAAAGTAGGGATCACTCCTAACCAGCATGAGTCCCTACAGGGGAAGTGGGGAACACAGGCCCAGCCTCGTCTCCACACCTGTGGCCTCAGTGGGCAACTCGCTAGAGAGCTCCCAGGAAATGCCCTCTAGAATGCGTGGCCAGAAAGCAATACTTCCAAGAGACAAACAGACCCAAAGGACAGGAGCTTACCTAGTCTAGAAGGCCCCAGAGGTAAACTTTTGATTTTATTTTTAATGTATTTATACTCTGCTTACATCCACAAGTTTAAGGTGGCTTTCAAATAATCCATTCAAATACAATAAAATAGACTCATTGGGAAGAGCAAAAGGGGTCTTCATGAGATTCCCTGAAGAAGGGGAATTAAAATGAGTGAGGAAGTTCAGTGAACTCCACCTCCAGGAGTAAAGGCAGAGGGCAGAGCCTACGGCCTCAGAGGATAAGCCAGGGACGAGGACTATGAGAACCTTGAGTGGTTTTGGGACCACTGACCCTCCTTCTGTCTTTTCCCTGTACCCCCACCCCGTATTCCAGGACTGGGAATGACATGATTCCTAGAGACCAGAGGACGGGGGACATGTCCCCACAAAGGCCCTTTCCTCCCCTAATACAGCCTGTGCACTGTATTAGCCATCCTGAAGGGCAAGCAGGTAGACTTGACCAGGCCACGCAGAGGAGGGACCCCAAAGACAGACTTTTAGGACAGACAGCCCCACCTTTCCCAGTGGAGCCAGACTTCTTTGAGTTTCCTACCTGTGAAATACAATAATAATAGGACTAACTTCTTAGCAGGGTGATGAGGACTAAATGAGTTCATGTTTGTGAAGCTCTCAGAATGTGCTTGGCATAAAGGGTCAATGCGATATGAGTGTTTGTGAAGTCAAATACGTAACTACAACAAAAACTGGTGTTGTCTGTACCTTGTTCTCTCTGCCCCTGGCATCCAGCACTGCTGAAATGGCAGTTAATATTGTAGCGGAGATTAGCTGGGCGGAAGTGTCAACCCTGGAAGCAAATAAACCGAGCAGGCCCCCCTCCCCCATCTCCTGGACTCTGCTCCAGGGATGGTCTTGGAGGCTACCGAGGCCGAACACAGTACTCAGCCCTGCGGTCCCGTCCCCAGTCTCCTTGTCTTGGCTCTGATGGCAGTGATGACCTCACCTGCTTTCACCCTCAGCTTATCTCATCTCAAAAGCAATGTCTTTACTCACCAGTTAGGGATACTTGAGCCCAAGTTGGCAAAAGGCGTGGAGTGGGAAGAAACGATTGAGGGTGGGGAGTCCTTGTATGGAAGTGGTTTAGAAGCACCGTAGAGAAGTCCCTAGAGCCTCAGTGTGGCCCGCACGGGCAGCCTGCCTCCGTTGGTCTCACTCCAAGGCCCAGGCCTAGATGAAAGCCCAAGTTCTGAAGGCAGAAACATTGCTTTGTCTCCTTCCTGTCCGTGCCTCTCGTTTTGCACCCTGAGCCCCCCTCAGGCTGGTCACTCTGTCTTCCGACCTGGGTCTGCCCTCCCTGGGCAATGGTGTCTACCTAACTTCCAACAGAATGTGTCTACCTGACCTGCATGATTTCCCGCTTAGGGACAGAAGATGTCCCAAGTCAAGGGCAGATCACAGGAATGACATGTTCCCTGCATGTGGCAGAAAATCCATGGAAAGGGACCGGTGTGTGGGGAGCCCTAGCACCAGGGCTAGGTTTGCTGTGGTTCCCTCTGGAAGAGTGGAACCAGAGGAAGGCCTGGGAAGGGAGGTGAGAACCAGCAGGCCAGAGGAGCAGAGGACATTCTGGCAGTCTGGGCGAGCGGCAGTAGGGCGACCATTGGCAGGAGAGGCACAGAAATGACACCACAGGCAGCAGTCATGGGCTGAGTCAGGGAGCAGGGAGCAGATTGGTGGTAATGACATCAGCAGTACGTTGAGAGAGCCTGGAACAGCCCCAGAGCAGCAGGAAAGTCAGAGACCCATGGGCGGGTTGCGGGAGTGGCTCTAAGCATGGCCAAGCACCCTGCTGGGGATATCCCAAGATACTACTGAGGATGAAACCTTTGAAGGGGAGTCCCACGGTTACAAAGGTGGGAAGGGGAGTTCAAACCTAACTGTTGATATGACCTCGGAGGCTGAGACTGGGTGCCCTTGGCCAGGTGGGCATAGCCCCTTCTCAGCCTTCCATCAGGCTTGTCAGCCATGCTGGGCGACAAGTGTTGTCCTTACCTGCAGAAGAGGAGACAGGCTGGAGAAGAATAGTGGCTTAGTCCAGGTTCCAGCTGATCAGTGGCAGGGGGTGTTAGAGCCCTTGTTCCCTCCACTGAGCTTCCTCGATGCTCCCGTCTGAAGTTCCTCCATGGCTCCCAGTCCTCAGAACAGAATTCAGTCTCTCCGGTTCGTTGGCCATGGCCTTCCTCCCTGAAACATTCCATCGCCCATCTCTCCTCAGCCACATTTTCTCCATCCATCAGAGTCTAGTTCAAAAGTCACCTCATTCACCATATCCTGACCTCCACCTCAAATTCCTCCCTCCATAATGGGGGTTCCCATAACATTTTGTTTGAACCCCTATTTAAAAAGCTTTGTGTTGGGCTGCCTGGTTGGCTCAGTTGGTTAAGCCACTGCCTTTGGCTCAGGTCGCGATCCTGGGATCCTGAGATTAAGCCCCACATTGAGCCCCCCATCGGGGTCCTTGCTCTGGGGGGAGTCTGCTTCTCCCTCCCCCTTTATCCCTCTCCCGACTCTTGTGCAAGCTCTCTCTCAAATAAATAAATAAAATCTTAAGAAAAAAAGCTTTGTGTTAGCCCTTTGCTTTCTTGATTCTGTCCTTCTAGGTCACCCATCCCTGAGGGGCAGGAGCCTGCTTTTATAAATTACTGGATGTACCAAAGCATCCGGGACAGAGTCTGGCGAAGAGTGGGCTCAATAAAAGTTTGGTGACTTGATGCCGAACAATCAACCCCAACAATGTGTGGTCTAGCCTCCCATCCTGAACCCAAAAGGAGTGCCCTTGAACCCCCAGAAGGCTGCCACAGTGTTGTGGGTGGCCCTTCTATCACATATGCCCTGTTTTTTTTTTTAAAAAAAGATTTTATTTATTCATTTAAGAGAGAGAGAGAGAGACAGAGAGACAGAGAGAACACAAGCAGAGAGAGGCAGAGGGAAAAGCAGACTCCCCGCTGAGCTGGAAGACCCCAACGTGGGGCTCGATCCCAGGACCTGGAAATCATGACCTGAGCCAAAGGCAGATGCATAACCATCTGAGCCACCCAGACGCCCCCAAATATGCCCAGTTTTGACAAAAAGCCAGCACTGCCTGAGTGTGTGTGTATGCATGCATGTGTATAAATATGGGGGCGGTCACAGGGGGTGGAGGCATGAGTCAGTTTCATAGAAGCAGGTCTTTGCTGTGATGAGACCCAGAACCTCACCCCCCAGCCAGCCAGGCAGCAGGAAGGGGGTTTATCAGCAGGAAGGGGGTTTATCCCCTCAGAGCGAGGGTTGGGCTTCCCTCTGCTGTGATTAGAGGATGTAGCGGGCAGCTCCCTTCCAGCAGGAGGCTCCTTCTCCTCATGAAATAAGTTGGTGTTTATGGTCCAAGAAATTTGTTAGCGAGGTACAGTGCACCTGGCTGGAGCCCTTGTGAGCCAGTTAGCTTGGTTCAGTTTTGTGGGCACAGACTGAGTCACTTCCTGAGCCCTGGCTGCGTGCTAAGCTCAGTAAGTCATGGTACAAGCCTATGCTGCCCTCCTCAGAGGCCTTGCACTACATGTGGTCAGAGCACCACATGGTGCTCTTTGGGGTCCTTGGGCATTCTCCCAACTATCTCTCTTCTCTATCTCTCTTTGGTAACCTGATCCCTTTCTACTTCTCTGTCAGCTTATGCCTCTCTCCTCACTGTGTCCATGCCAACCACACGGCCCTTCTGTCAGTCTCGAATACTCGACATGCCCCATCTAGCCACAGGGACGTTGCTTGTTCTTTTTTCACCACCTGGAATGCTCTTCCTTCCTCTCTTGCCCTGTGAACTCCTTCTCCTTCAAGTCTCACCTCAAGGATCACTTCATCTGGAAAGGTTGCCCTGACCCCCTTGGTAGGTCGAATTTCCCTATTAGTCCTCTTACTGCCTTTGTCACTGTTCCCACCATCTGCCTCCCAACACTTCCCCA